GGTGTAAGTTGGAAAGAGAGCTGCAATGTTCAACAACTTTCTGCCGCGCTTCTACAGGTTCTTAAGTACTCCTATCTTCAGGACGTCTGGATCTGGTTCTTCCTTTCATAACTTCTCTTTTTTAACAATTTCCTTTTTCTTTTTCTTAAAAAAAATGGAGAGATATTAGTGTTTGTAGTTAGATTGTAACACTCAAAAATTAAAATCATATTGAAAAAAAAAAAAATGGAGATTAATGTTTTGTGCAATTAGAATTATGCATAATCACGAGATTAGCACTTGGACCTTCGGTCCAATGACCTCATACCATCAATAAAATGCATCCCTTTTCTTTAATAACGGTTCAAATCAAGTTTTGTAAATTTTTTTTAAGAAAAAAACCCTAACCACGAGATGGGGCGCATTAGCCAAGCTCGCTGCCATAAGTGCTGGCTTTTTTTTTTTTTTTTATTTAATGATACTAATTCTATAATTTAAATGATAAAATTACATATTTTTTATATTATATATGGTTTGATACATCATAAATTATATTGGTAATACTTTTTATTAAAAAATATAATAAGTTCCAATTAGAATTCTCTTTTATATACTCTAAAAAGTAAAATTGAAATCAGTTTATTAAAATAAAGATTGTGAGAGACAAGAATATTTAATACTTAAAATTGATAATCTTTGTGGGGAGAGTTTCGGAATCATTTGACCCAAAAGCAAATTATGCTCAAAACAACTTGTACTTTCCATTAATTAAGGAAAATTGGCATTCTTTCACCAGCCTTTAGGGAACAGGATATTTAGGATCCAGTAATTATACAAAATCACTATACGAAATAAGACTACATCATCTGATTTTGGTGTACCCAGTTCCTGGGAAACTTTGATGAATTTCTGTCTTTAGAATGTGGTTGTTCTGAGACAAATGGAGCAGAAGGAACCAAAAAGAATATGGTTCTAACTTCTATCTATCAATCGAGTTCAAGCCCAGATTGCTAGCAAAGACATCATTCCGGCACCAAGGAAAAGCATGCAGTAAGACACTACTTGAAGTCTAAAATTGCAGCTCATCCTCTTACTGAGGAAATCCGCAGCAATCAGATCCACCAATGCCATATACACTAGAATTCCAGCTGACAAGCAATCTAAGATGCCTTCCACGATTAGAGCACCAACACTGTAAGCGTTGTAGAAAGAAGCTATTGCAATACCAATGCCAATCCCTGCAGGAGTGGTAATGGCAAAGAAGCATGCCATTATGGTGGCTGACATGTTCTTGAATTGTGCTTGAGAGATGCAGCCTCCAAGCGCGAATCCTTCGAAAAATTGATGGAATGATAGGGCTGCGATCAGTGGCCTTATTGTGCACGGACTACTTGAAACTCCCAGTGATAGCCCAATAATGACCGAATGTGACACAATCCCAAGTTCCAAAATCTGAAATGACAAAAAGAAACATAGTTTTAAAATCAAGTTTCAATTTCAAATTTTAAGAGGAAAATCAAGCTATTTTCTCGACAACATTGTAAGGCTGCAACAACCAGAAGATTATATTATGTGTCACCAACTTGGCAACATTTAACTAACAAAGATAAATTTAATCGAAAAAAGGGAAGCACCTAGTAGTAAATGTAGATAAACAAAGAATAAAGCTTATGAAAATGATGTTTACAGTAAATTATAAGGAAGTTCAGTTCCAATCTTAGAATTTCCTTAAGAGAATCCTGTTTGTGTATATTAGGAATTGCTCGAGACAGCTTTTAATATTAAGAGGCTGTTAACTTGTAGGGTCTGAACTGAATATTTTTTTTTTTCTTTTTTAAGCCCCAAGTGTCACAAGTGACAACACAGAATTGAAAAAGAAAAACACGAAGGGTCCCACATGGCAGAAATGGGATTACAATTGCTGACGTGTTTTAATCTTAAAGTTCGAGTTATTTATAATAAATAAAAAAATTAATTATTTAAATAACATAAAAATTATATTAAAAAATAATAAAATTTATTTTCAAATTATTTTGGTTATTTTTTACTATACTACCCGGAAATGCAGTAGTAGATCTCCAAAGAGTGCGATGATTTACCATTTAAATGTGTTGAATTATTAAATAGAGATACTTAAATAAAAATAAGATTTTTAATATTAAAAAATTTATTTTTTTATATAATTTAATATAATTTTAACTATATAATATTTTTTTCTCCAAAACAAAGAACAGTAATAAATAATAGTAATTTACTCAAAACAACGGCAGAAACGCCAAAATAGGGAACAACGGCGGCACCAAAACAAGGAATTTACCTGTGAGACGACAACGTGCCTCGAGCCGCTCTCCACGTCCTCCTCTCCGAGCTCATGACTGTGCCCGTGGCTATGGCCGTGACCATGGTGATCGTGCTCGCGAGTTCTCACCAGCGCGTCGCATCCGTTCTGTCCACTGGGGTGGTTGTGCCGGTGGTGAGCCGCGTGGGCGCGCATTCCCACTATGTGCATGCCTCCATTTTCTTCTTCGCCGAACACCTTGTAATTCTGCTCCTTACTCTCCACAGCCGGCACAATGCCTGTATCCGACACTGCCGCATCCGACCCGACCCGGGCCTCCTCCTCAGTGCTACCCCGAGTCAGGCCCTGTTTCCTCTCGTAATATTGAGTCCCAACAAAATCCACAAGCAAAGTAATCAAGGCAGAAATCATAGCAAAGAATCCGGAAAATGGAAACTTGGACCAAGGATATTCCGGCAGACAAGGATCACTGAGAGCTTCCGAGCCGTCGGAAAGCATATGAACAAAACCGGTGGCCAGAATCACGCCAGCGGCGAAGGCCTTAAATGCAACAAAGAGGCTCCCGTCGGTGCGGAGGAACTTTCTGTGCTTGCCCACAAGCGGAATGGCGACACCCACGACTCCCGCGAAGAGAATGGAGGCGATGGCGACAAATTTGAGAACCATTGCCGCTGACTCGTCGCGGCATGTTTTTAGTTCTACGGATTCACAACTCGTGACGGTCATTGAGTCGGTTATTCTCTGCAAAAGGGACCCTGCATTTTCCGATTCCCAACCAAAAGATAAATCAGAATCCGCTAAAGACACTGAAATTCATCAATTACTCATTTATAACTAAAATCGACTCGTACCCAATTGAAGAATCCTGTTAAATTAACTTCCATCACAACGACCCAGAAAATGGATTCATAATTTACCTGAAAAAATTCCAGTGCTTGATCTGAACCGATCAGAGTAAAGCAGCGGCCAGAAATCCTGACAAACAGAATCGACACCCGTCAATCGAAAACCCACATCACAGAAAACGAAAACATTAATTCTTTGAATTCCCTAGACGGACAAACCTCAAATAGAGAAGACATGAGAAGTAATAGAGTTTCAGAATGGCGTTAGGTGGGTTGGGTATTTAAATAGGCGGAGAAGGAGGTGGAGGTTGATCCAATGAAGACGAATCTCGATTGATGTGGGAATTGTACTTATAGTGCAAAGATCACTACGATGTTACGGTGCACATGCCCACCACGGAACCATGGTTGGTGAGAGCGCAGCCGGATGCGGAAAGAGAAAGGGAATGTGTCGACATAGTTTTGATGGGAAGAGGGTGAGAGCAGAGGTGGCCTCTTCAGTTGGGTCCATGAACGCGAGTATGTCGACATTGTTTTGTATATTATTACTCCATTCCGTTTCCATCCGGTTTTGAAATATTCCTTTTTCAGCTTTTCTTTTGGGTGAAAATTTGTATGATTTTCTTCTATCACTTTCAGCACTTTTTCAATGAGTGCACGTGGCATTCTCGAGAGTGCCCCAATAACTTTTTTCTGGGGGGTTGGTAAATA